GTAGAACATCTGACTTAACATATTGCTAACAACGTGTTTTACCAAAATGTTGTCAATCCACAAACCACGGAACTTACAATCCCCCCTTTTGGAAAATTTTGGCAAACACCTCATTTACTGGAGAGAGGAATAAAACCATAAAAACAAGACACATGCTACATGTAACTTTTACACAACCTGCAAACAAAAAGATATCAGAGATAAAATGCAGCTACAAATCACCAGAAATTACAACTCTTTTAAATTCCAAAACTATTCATAGATTAGATGTCAAAACATGTGGTATGGGATCACATAACTCCAATACAACAACTTCAAACATGTCTATTATTCCCCTTGTCACACATAACCAATACTCCCCCCTCAAGGGAAAAATGAGAAAAACTCAAATCATAAGAAATCCAAACCTCATATGTCTTAGATATCTTAGTTCACATATCCCTCTTAAGGGGAAAACCCTAATCATCTGACAGACAAACATGAACTATCCAAGTTCACACATTAGAAACACATGCAATAGAAGCCACACACATTAGATACACATACAATAGAAAGCACACATATTACTCAGAACATCAGAGTAATATACAAACATATAGCATCCAAGATTCTTCATAACCAAAACATGTCAGAACATGTTACACAACATTTCCCACATGCAATCCATTAGTGATAGCAACATAAGCAGAGGCAGTAGCAAGCATGACAAACTATCATACTCCCCCTAAATAATTGCATATGACAAGCAACCAGAAAACACACTAAGGGCATCCCTATCTGTTTCACGGTCATGAAGCTTGACTCTGTACTCTTCTCAAATTCAAGAAACTTCATCGATTTCAAAACAATTGATAAATACCTAGTTGAACTTCAACCAATTCATTCCCATAATAACATCAAGTTGACTTAGAGGCAAACAAACCAATTCAATCCCAAAATCTCTACCATAAATTGTCAAAGGATAATTTAAACGCACCAACAAAGTAGTCACTAAACCATTAGTCAGGGTATCAATGACCATGCTTCTATTTATAACAGACACTTCCAAATTCAATCTTTTCACATACTCAATAGATATAAACGAATGCGTCACACCCGTATCAATAATAGTAATTACAGGAATACTATTAATAAAGCACATACCTCTAATCAAATCATCATATGCAATAGTTTATGCTTTAGACAAAGCAAAAACTTTCCCTCCGTATTAAGCCTTCTTATGTTTCTCACATTGAGTACTAATATGACCCTGTTATCCATAATTAAAGAAAGTCAGACTATTACTCCTACAATCAGCAACTCAGTGACCTGACTTCCCACACTTGAAGCAATTCATAGTAGTGCTCTTACACTCAGAAAACTCACCAGATTTGAAACATCTCAAAGAAGTAAAAGTCTCTCCCCTAATTCGCTATTTCCCACCTGTAATCTTCTGATCACACTTCTGCTTCCCTTTGTCAAATAAAGCACTATGCAACTTCCCATTACTCTGATTTTTTCCTTTTTTCTCACTAAGACTCTTACATCGTGCAAATAGAGTTACGATATCCTCATCATATATTCTGCACTTATTAACCAACATAGAAAATTGGTGGATCTCTTAATACCCAATACCTTGCTTAATCTCGGGACGCAAACCGCTCTCGAACCTGATACACTTTGATCCCTCAACAACCACATTAGTGCCGTGTGGGCAAAACTTCACCAGTTCTTCAAACTTAGCAACATACTCCGCAATTGTTGAATTTCCTCGATCTCCTTCATACTACGTACATCCTCATGAAAGTACTTATCTAGGAAATGAAATATGAACACAACCTAAGTAATCTCAGTACCCACATCCTTCAGTCTCTAATGAACATTATCCCACCAGTCTCCAACTTTTTCTGATAACATATGAGTACCAAACTACACCTTTTGATCTTTAGTGTAAGTCATCCCTCGAAAAATATTTTCAATCTCTCTGAGCCATGCCTATGCACCCTCTAAATCATATATGCCCTAGAATATCGGTTGGTTGTTTCTCTAAAACTTCCCCAATCCATGGAATTTATCACCAACCTGATTATGATGACCTTTAAGCATCTGAGTCATTGCCTCAAAAGCATCAACAATTGCGCGATTGTTTCTTTCAACCATTACTCTGCACACCAGTAAACAACTATTAGAAGCAACATGCATCGACAATGTTTATACACATGTCACATACTAAGGAACGATCAACATTACAAAAACTTGGTCGAATGGACATACCTACTCTGATACCACTATGTAACACTTTACTTCCCGACTTGAAAGATAATTAAATATAACACGTGTAACACATAAATCCTTCAAGTAGAATGATACTCGTGCCTCAACAAAACATACATGAACCATATAATTGAAAAATGAATTATTTTATGAGCAGTGGAAATTATAAAATAGCCGACATAAAAAGTCTCAGCAATAATAAGTTTGAAAAGTGGTTCAATATTCAACTAAAGAGAAGATATGCAACGTAAGAAAAACAGATAAAAGAACAACCTATTCCCCTCGTGTTACATGTTAGAGCGACTAAAACTATAGACTTAACCAATAGGAAACTATAGAGGCACACCACTATCCTCTACATCAAACTCCTACTCAAATACTACCTCCATTCCTTTTTATAAGAGACAATTCATTTTTTAGGTTCATTGAATAATTAATGTATTTGATCAGTTTTTAGACTAGATACATTGATTATTTAATGAATCTAAAAAGTAAGTTGTGTCTTATAAAAAAGGAACAAATGTAGTACTTGATTGACTGTATTCCAAAAGGAGTACAAACGTAACAACACAAAATGTGTAAGAATACGTCCAAATAATAATCGATGCACAAAATAATTAGGGTAGATTCACATGTCGCGAATCATACACATATCAAACATGCACCACAAGATCACATATTCATATTTTACTATATAACGGTCAATCACCAATCACAATGTTATTCATCACATTCAAATCACACAAGTTCGTGCACGCATATTCAACAATACTCAAACATCTTATTTGCATAAACATTATGTAAGGCAATACAACATCGATTCAACTTATGCATGTGGTACCGACGCAACAAATGGTTTTTCATATGAACCGAGTCCCATCTCTGAACCCCGAGCTCACACTTTGAGCTCCAAGCCCCCACTTTAAGCTTGAGATAAGTCACTAGTCTCTTCCCAGAACTTGTGACTCACCTATTTCACAACACATGATGCTTGACATGTAGTAATGCAATGACAACAACACAACAAAAAAATACAACCCCACTCTGACTGTACATAATCATACAACAATAACAACACAATAATGAATACAACCTCATATCGACTATAAATATTCATCTAAGTAATCCCCACAGTTGGACTACTCACCATAATCTCAATTATATGATCATCACATATTTAGCTAATCATCAACACAATACAACACAATTAGATTCATCACACACTTCAATCAATAAACTAATATTCATCAAAACACACCAAACAACAATCAAACATCGGCCGCACGACAAAACGACACAAAAAATCCAACTCAGCGGGCCAAAACGCACCCACTGACACGATGACGGGTAGCTTGTCACCAGGGTGACATCCGTCATCACCCCTTTCCCTCAACCGTCACCCCTGTGACGACCAACAAGATTTTACGCTTGCGTAGAGACCATGACAGTCTCTCCATCAGACAACTGACACCCATTAGCGCCTTAAAGCACATGATGACTATGCGTTATGCTATTATAGAACCTTCAAAAACCTCAAGTTCAATTTCAAAAATCCCCAAAAATCTAGAATTGATACATATATTATATATTAGGAATTACATCATTAATAAAATTGATTTTTACTTATAAAAGTGACCAAGAATTGAAGATTTTATTTCTTCTTATTATAGTGATTAGAAGGTGTAAGTAGTATATAGAAGCAAAAAAATCAATGTCAAAGTAATACAAGAAGGTCATAATCCATAACCTGACTTAAAGAATCCACAAGAACTTCTTAAATTTTGTCCATAAATCCAAACAAATCACCTATCTGTAATTCAAAATGATTAAAGATTATATATTTATAGAAACATGTAACCTCTCTAATTCAAAATGATTAAAGATTATATATTTATAAAAACATGCAACCTCGCATGTCGTTGATATATTATATATAATATTGAGTTAAATATGGTATTTTACCCATATAAAATGACATTTATTTTTGGATTTCTATCTTTTTAATATAATAATAATAATAATCATCATAAGTCAGATCAGTGATTTTTCAATAAAAAATAATTAAATTGTTATAATTTTGTAAATTAAAAGAATTATATAAAAATTAAAAATAATAGATTAATTGCGAATAAATAAAATAAATGTGTTTGGTATAATTTTTAATTTTATATGTTATTATATATTACATTATTATATTATTATATTATAGTACAAGATTAAACATATCTTTAGTCACTCAAAATATATTAATTTTTGTTTTTAATTCTCTTAAAATTTTTCTTCAAACTTTAAATTTTAAGTTTTCAATTAGTTCCTCTTTTGTAAAAAATTCGCATAATATATTTTCAAATGACTTTTTTATTTTTATGACATATCATTATTAGTACCTTAAAGTATCATTAATATTTAACCTTAATAATTAACCTATTAAACCAATGAAAGAGAATATAAAATAATATTTAAACTTAATATTTATCTGTAACTTAAAAATAAATATTAAATAGTTAACCTATTAAACCAATGATAGAGAATATAAAAATCCTAATTCCCAAGTTGAGAATCCTTCTTCTCTCGCTGAAACAAAACATTCATGTTCCACCTAGAATTCAAACCCTAGGTGTTGTTCCTCTCACCGTTTGTGTGCTTCTTTTACGTACTTCTTGCTCTGTTCTCTCTTTAATAATTGATTCTTTTATTTTTCACAGAGACATCCGCTGCCAGCTTTGTCTCCTATACTAGAAGAAGCCATGTAAGTGAAAATGCTATACTCATTCATGTTTGAATTTGTACCGAGGAAATTGAAAACAATGAATTTTGAGAGATTTTATATTCTGAATTCTGAAAATTAGTTGCATGAGTTGGTTTTATAGACTGAGCCGGAAAGAAACATAAACACATCATATCCTTTATTCCGATAATTCAGAATCAGATATGCTAAACGATTTTGATTGTGGGGGTGTTTCCAGGTCCAGGATATTTGTGAAGAACCTCCCTAAATATGTTGCGGAGGATCGACTTAGAGAATTATTTTCTCAGAAAGGAGAAATAACTGATGTCAATCTGCGTACCAAGTAATGTTTCTTTCCTTATCCCAATCCTCATGTACACTTATTTACAATTATTAGTAATGTTTATTTCCTTATCCCAATCCTCATGGACACTTATTTACAATTTTTTACTGCCCTGCTCTGTATTGAATTGCTTGGTCAGAAACGGAAAAAGTCGCCAATTTGCCTATATTGGCTTTCGCACAGACCAGGAAGCTCAGGAAGCCATTCGATTTTTTAATAAATCTTACCTTGACACGCTTAGAATTACTTGTGAGGTTGGATGTTTATTCCATTACTATTTTATGTTTTTTATATCAAATAATTATCTTATTCAATATATTTATTACTGAAACTGAAAGCCATAAAAAATGTGATACCATGTTCTCATAAACCACACAGGTGTCTCAGAAACCCAATGATGCAAAACTTCCTCCGCCGTGGAGTCGGCATTCAGCAAAAAAGGATAATAAAGTGATCACCCCAGATGCAAAAAATCTTGCTAGAGCTAAACGGCAAAAATACAATTCTAAGGACATTGATGACCCGAAGCTTCAAGATTTTCTTCAGGTCACGCAGCCTCGTGCAAAGTCTAAGATGTGGGAAAACGACACTACAGTTGTATCCAATGTTGGTAACGACCAAGCAACATCGTGTAAAGAGATAGATGGTACATCAATTGCAAACCATCCTATCTTAAGTGACACACAAGTAGTTGGATTACCAAATAATCCCAAATCTGACAAGTCATGCGAGCTTATGACTGATATGGATTATTTCCAGAGTAGAGTTATAACAGAGTGGTCTGATTCTGTAAGCAGCGAGGATGAAAACGACAATGATGATGACAAAGATAACCGCTGTCATGGTAATGGACATGAAGAAGATTGTGGTAATAACCCTTGTGAAAGAAACCCAAGAAGTGGTGCTCAAGAGTTAGATCTAGAGGGCCAAGAAGATACTTTTGGAGAGGATGTTGCCAACAATAAGTTTCAAGTGAGTGCAACTGAGGATAAGAAACAAGTTTCTGAGTCATGTCGACTGTTTGTCCGAAATCTGCCATACACGACCACGTACTTTCTCAAATTCTCTTATGGATCCATGTTTCATATTGTTTTTCCTGCTTTTCCATTTAGTATTTGACAAAGATAATTGTTTTCTCTTATTATTGATAGAGCAACATGCGCTCTTAAATAGAATACAACGTACTTAGAAAGAAAATCCCTAATAAATATTCATCATTGCCCTCAGGCAATTCTATAATTAAGGGTCAATAGTTTCTATAAATACATACACACCTAATCAAATCCTTTAAGTATTTAAATATAAAATATACAGTTAATTAACACATGTACAGCTGGTTCTAACACTCCCCCTCAAGTTGGAGAGTGGATGTTACCCATTCCCAACTTGCCGATAATAGATTGAAATGTAGAACCACTTAATCCTTTTGTAAGAACATCTTCCAGCTGATTTCCAGTTGATACAAATGGTATACATATTGTCCCACTATCCAATTTTTCCTTGATGAAATGTCTGTCTACTTCGACATGCTTCGTTCTATCATGTTGCACTGGATTATGTGCAATGTTTATTGCTGACTTGTTGTCACAATATAGTTTCATGGGTCCATTCCATTCAATCTTTAGGTCATGTAGAATTATTTTCAGCCATAGGAGTTCACAAATACCTAAAGCCATAGACCGGAATTCTGCTTCTGCACTTGACCTCGCAACAACATTTTGTTTTTTGCTCCTCCAACTCACTAAGTTTCCTCCAAGAAAAGTACAATATCCGGATATGGATCTTCTGTCATCTACTGATCCAGCATAATCAACATCTGTATAGGCTTCCAAAGTAATTCCTTGACCCTTTGTAAATAGAATTCCTTTTCCAGGAGTGCCCTTCAAGTATTGCAAAATTCGGTAAACAACTCTAAGATGATTTTCTTTGGGATTATGCATGAATTGACTCACCACTCCCACTGCATAAGCTATGTCTGGCCTAGTGTGAGATAAATAGATTAACTTTCCAACTAACTTTTGATAGGATTCTCTGTCCACAGTTGCATCTTCAACAAACTCACTAAGTCTGTGATTTTGTTCAATTGGAGTTTCTACTGGTTTGCATCCCAATTTACCAGTTTCAGATAATAAATCCAGCACATACTTCTGTTGAGAGATGAAAATACCATGACGAGAGTGTGCCACCTCAAGGCCCAAAAAATATTTTAATCTGCCCAACTCTTTTACTTCAAACTCTTTTAGCAAACACACTTTTAGGCTATCCATTTCTGCTTGATGATTTCCTGTTACAATTATATCATCCACATAGACAATTAGTGCAGTAACTCCCCCTAAGGCTGAATGCTTAGTAAACAAAGTGTGATCTCCCTGACTTTGTTTATATCCCATATCTTTCATCATAGTGGTAAACCTACCAAACCAGGCCCTAGGGGACTGTTTCAGTCCATAAAGGGCTTTCCTTAGCTTACAAACTTTGCCTTTCTCAAAGTTAAACCTAGGTGGGACCTCCATGTAAATTTCCTCTTCAAGTTTGCCATGTAGGAAAGCATTCTTGACATCGAATTGCTGCATATTCCATCCATAGTTAGCTGCTAGAGATAACAAAATTCTGACAATGCTCATTTTTGCGACGGGAGAGAAAGTCTCATGATAGTCAATCCCATATGTTTGTGTGTACCCCTTAGCTACTAGTCTTGCTTTATACCTTTCTAGTGTTCCATCGGACTTGTATTTAAGGGTGAATACCCATTTACAACCAACAAGTTTTTTTCATTAGGAAGCTCTACTAAATTCCAAGTTCCATTTTTCTCTAGTGCATCCATTTCGACTTTCATAGCTTCTCTCCACTCTTTGCTATCTAGTGCTTCGGTAACCGTTTTTGGGATAGGTAGTGTTTAAATGAGCAAGAAAACTTCTACGATTGTTGGACAAATTATCATAGGATATAAAGTGAGACAATGGATATCTTGGCCTTTTTGTACATGCTCTAACATCCTTCCTTATTGCAATTGGAAGATCTCTAGCATCCATGGATATATTCTGCTCCTCTAAATCAGTCCCATCAACTTCAGTTTCAGGGGGCACAATTTGCTCCTCTAAAACTGTCTCATCAATTACAGTTTCAGGAATTGGGTCAGATTCTGGGACTTGCACAGGTTGGATAATAGGTGCTGCCCTTCTTGTGTAAACTTGTAGTGGACGAGTAGCATTAGGAGTCTTGGGCATAAAAGAAAGGTCTTTGAACAAATCATCATTATCTTCGATGTATTCCTTCTCCCCCTGAAGATAAGGTTTGGAAAAAAAGGATTCGGTTTCGACAAAAGTGACATCAATAGACACAAAATTCTTTTTTGTTGTAGGTTGATAACACTTATAACCTTTTTGGGTAGGGGAGTAACCAAGAAATATGCATTTAATAGCTCGAGAATCAAGTTTTCCTCGATGTGGAGAATGAACATGGACAAATGACACACACCCAAAGATCCTAGGAATTAGGTTGTTTGAAGTTTTGAAATTTGGGTAGAATTTGGAAAGGAGCTGAATGGGGCTGTTATTCTGAAGAATTTGAGAGGGTAAGCGGTTAATCAAGTAGGTGCCAGTAAGAGCAGCCTCCCCCCAATATTGTTTTGGAACATTTGTGTGGAATAAAGATGCTCGGGTAACATTGAGAATATGCCCAATTTTTCTTTCAGCCACCCCATTTTGTTGTGGGGTGTGGACACATGATGATTCATGAATAATACCATGTTCAGTGAAAAAGGAAGACAATGTTTGATTAAAATAATCTTTGGCATTATCAGAACGAAACAGTTTGATGGTAGTCTCAAATTGGGTTTTTATCATTTGAAAAAACAATTTAAATATTTGAGTGACTTCACTTTTTTGTTTTAAGAGATACATCCATGACACTCTAGTACAATCATCAATAAAAATGACAAACCAACGGGCCCCAGATATATTTGGGACATTGGATGGCCCCCAAACATCACTATGGATTAAGGAAAAAGGAGTAGACATTCTTTTATTATTATTAGGAAAGCTAACATGTTTGTGTTTAGTGAGTTCACAATCATCACAATGAAAAGTTTCTAAGTTTATACCTTGAAACAAGGTGAGAAACATATTTTTGAGAGTGCTAAATGAAGGATGACCCAACCGGAAGTGACGCAACCAAATTTCTTTATTGAGGGAAGGAACAGATTCTGACAACAAAGACAGTGGAAGTTGACTCTTAATGCTACTTGTCTCACGCGTTTCCATAAGAAGGTAAAGCCCATTGTCCTCTCAGCAAGTCCAATCGTCTTCCCCGTTTCCTGATCCTGAAATTTGCAAAGTGTAGGAGTGAATGTTACTAAGCATTGTAAATCTGTCGTAAGTTTGTGAATAGATAATAGTTTGGCAGATAATTTGGGCACATGCAAGACATCTCTCAACATTAAATTTTGACTTAGTGGAATATCTCCCTTTCCTGCAACAGTAATAAAAGTGCCATCTACAGTGATAATCTTTTTATTACTTGGACACGGTGTGTAAGAAATAAACTGAATAGAGGAATGGGTCATGTGATTCGTAGCCCCAGAATCAACAATCCATGTCCCTTTTTCTGTAGATTGTATAACGCTAAGAGCATAGAGATGAGAACTACCTGATAATGCCACGGAAGAACTACCTGTGTTTGTGGGTTTGACTAAAGAGTCTAGTAGTTCCCTTAGCTTTGTAATTTCTGCTGGATTGAAGTCAGCAGCAGCAGTAGGTTTAGAATGACTTTCCACGACAGCACTTGATTGGACCAAGTGGGCATGTGCTGGTCCTCCTCGTTGAATGCCTTTGGTGTTCCAATTTCGATTCTGATTTGGCGGTTTTCCATGACGTTTCCAGCATCTGTCTTCGGTGTGCCTTGGCTTCTTGCAGAAGGTACACCATAGAGAATCCTTGTTATCCCCTCTTTCAATCTCCATTTTGGGAGCTCCTCCGGTTTGACCGTTCTTCCATTGGTCAATGTTCTTCTCTCGACTTTGTGTTACTAAGGCTGAACTTTCATGTGATTGAGGCTCCATCATCACTCCTCTTCGCGATTCTTCTGTTTGAAAGGCAGCCATGGTTTCATTTAGTGAAGGTAACTCTTTTCCAAGTACTTGAATCCTTATTGGATCAAACACGTTGTTCAGACATGTTAAGAACTTATAGATTCTATCCTTCTCCTTAAAATTTTTTAGTAAAGTAGCATCTGCTATGCATTTTGCCTCAAAATGCTCATAGTGATCCAACTCCAACCATAGATTTTGTAGAGTTTGGGCATACTCACTAATGGACCGATCTCCTTGCTTGGTAGTCACAATCTTCATCTTAATTTCGTAAATTTGTGCAGCATCACCAACCTTGGAATAGTTTTCTTTACAGCTGTCCCACACCTCTTTGGCAGTCTTCATGAATATGCAAGCATCACTAATCTCAGGCACCATGGAATTCCATAGCCATGACATTACCACAGCATCTTCTTCATCCCATGCAGCAAATTTCTTGTCTGTAGCTACTGGAGTATCCTTTCCAGTAAGATGATTCAATTTGCCCTTCCCCTTTAAAAAGGTTTGGACAAAATGAGACCATTTGAGGTAGTTTTTACCATTGAGACGAAGGCTAGGTTGAACATTTTGCAGCTCAACGGAGCCAATGTTTGGGGCAGGGGGGTATTAACTGGTTCCGACATTCTGAGTTTTGTTGGGGAAAACGGCAATATAGACCGTAAAATAAAATCGGCAATGCAGGCCGCACAGCGGAAACAATGGCAATGCAGGCCACAATTTTAAACAGGCTCCTATGGATTTTGGAGCTCTGATGCCATGACAAAGATAATTGTTTTCTCTTATTATTGATAGAGCAACATGTGCTCTTAAATAGAATACAACGTACTTAGAAAGGAAATCCCTAATAAATATTCATCATTGCCCTCAGTCAATTCTATAATTAAGGGTCAATAGTTTCTATAAATACATACACACCTAATCAAATCCTTTAAGCCTTTTTAAATATAAAATATACAGTTAATTAACACATGTACAGCTGGTTCTAACAGTATTTTTCTACAGAATGAATGTCTTATGATAGTTAATATTTTACATTAGTATTATCTTTCAATTGATCTTAAATATATATATAAAAATTGGTTTTATCATTTTATTGTTACTCTGTTACAGGGAGGAGGAACTGGAAGAGCATTTCAGTCAGTTTGGTGGTGTCTCAGAGGTTCATTTAGTTGTTGATAAGGAAACAAAACGATCCAAGGGAATAGCTTATATTCATTTCACAGTTCCAGATTTTGCAGCCAGGTAATAACAGCTAGATGGATAGCAATTGTTTTCTCACCTTCAATTATACCAACTATTGTTTTATTGTAATTTATGCAAGTGTATGAAAATGTTTATCAGGGCGTTACAAGAGTCGGACAATTCAATCTTCCAGGGGAGATTATTACATGTTATGCCAGCTATACCAAGACGTTCAAACAATGAAGAGTAAGGAATAATGTTGCATTATGGAAGATGTTAAATTGGATTATCATGTGTTGTCATATTATGGTTTACGTGTTACTAGGAACAATGGTTCCAAGGACCAAGGAACAAAAACTCTCAAACAACGAAGAGAAGAAGAGAGGAAAGCAGCTGAAGCAAGTGGTGATACCAGAGCATGGAATAGTCTGTTCATGCGCCCTGATACAGTATGTTTTTTTATTGCTAGCAGGTTGCTTTTTCTCTTATTTATAGACGTATGCATATTTTAATCACGTGTTGATGATGTTAATAGATTGTAGAAAATGTTGCACGGAAATATGGTGTTAGTAAAAGTGATTTACTGGATCGAGAAGCTGATGATCTTGCTGTACGTATTGCTCTGGGAGAAACGCAAGTGATTTCAGAAACAAAAAATGCATTTAAAAAAGCTGGAGTGAATGTGGAAGCTTTGGAGGAGCTTGCAAAGGGTAAAATTGATGGCATTAAAAGAAGTAACCATGTAATTTTAGCCAAGAATTTGCCCTATGGTGCTACCGAAAATGAACTTGCAAACATGTTTGGACAATTTGGTAATTTGGATAAAATAATTCTCCCCTCCACAAAAACATTGGCCCTGGTATTTTTCCTCTCCACAAAGTTATTGCTTTTACTATTACATGTTTAGGCTTTGAATTATTTGGAGATGGTATTTCAGGTTGTTTTCCTTGAACCAGCAGAAGCTAAAGCTGCTTTTAAAGGTTTAGCTTACAAGCGTTACAAGTAAGATTTTTGTTTCTTTTGTTCACAAGTTCCATGCAGAATTGTTAACTTGTAGTAAGTAATATTTTATTAACTTGCTTTGCGTTGTGTTCAATGTAGGGACACTCTCTTATACTTGGAGTGGGCTCCTTCCAATGTTGTTAGCCCAAAAGATAACGAGATGAATAGTGGAATTGGTGAAAAGGATGTCAAGCGACAGATACTAGAGCAAGATGTGGAAAGAATATCAGATGTGGAGATTGATCCAGACAGAGTAGAGGTTTGACCTACTGAATTATTTTTGTCATTCTTTTGCGTGGTATTGTTTGTTGTGATACATTAGTCTTTCATTTATATTAGCCATTGGTAACTATTACTGTCATTTGATTAATCTACCATGCTTCAGGCCCGGTCCATGTTTGTCAAGAACCTAAGTTTCCAGACAACAGATGAGGGTTTTAGGAAACATTTCACTGAACACATGAAAGAGGGAAAAATTTTGAGTGTCAAGGTAAATGAAATGGGTTCGTTCTAGTGTTATGCAACGCATTTTACTTTTTATGACTTAGCTGTTTTTCATTCATTGCTTTCACATATAGGTGAAGAAGCATTTGAAAAATGGGAAAAATGTTTCTATGGGGTTTGGGTTTGTTGAGTTTGACTCCACAGAGACTGCTACAAGTGTTTGCAGCGATTTACAGGTATTAAAACATTTGAAGTTCTAGGTATGGTTGTTTTACAAAGACATGTTTTAATTATTTTTGTTGGTTTGGTTTATAGGGGAGTGTTTTGGACAGTCATGCTCTTAGTTTACAACTTTGTCATGTCAAGAATGATGGTAAAGTAGGAAAAAGAGTTGAGAAAGACGAGAGTTCAACTAGGTTGCTTGTGAAAAATGTTGCTTTTGAGGTAACAAAGAAGGATCTGAGACAATTGTTAAGTCCGTTTGGGCAGGTGATTGATTATTCATCCTCCTTTCAGACAGAGAATATGTATTCAAAATTTTTCCTTTGATTCATGTATGTTTGTTGGGTGCAGATTAAAAGTTTAAAATTGCCAATGAAGATTGGAAAGCATAGAGGCTTTGCTTTTGTGGAGTATGTTACTCAGCAGGAGGCACAGAATGCTCTTACAGCTCTCTCTAGCACACACTTGTATGGCAGACATCTTGTAAGTGGAAACTATGTTTTAGGCGATGTCGATAATTTGATATTAGATTGCAAATAGTTGACAAACTTATTCTTCTTCTTCAGGTGATAGAGAGAGCGAAAGAAAATAAAAGTTTGGAGGAACTGCGGGCTCAAACTGCTGCTCAATTTAATGCTAATAACTTATCCAAGAAAAGGAAAGCTATGAGTACTTGATGAAAGGTTTGATTAGTGCTCAGCTCAAGAATTTGAAGTTTTGAGTTAAGGGATAGTAATTTTGTAGGTTTTAATATTAATGAATGTTCTTACACTTATCACTCCATATGTGTTGGGGCATCGAAATTTCTGGATCCATCATCCAGTTTCCTGATGATGCAGTCCTACTAATTAGAGAGTCGATTATATACATTGCAATAAAATTTAATAGATATGTTTCTGAAAATTCTATATTACTGTGTGATTATATTCCAGAAACGTGCGTCGATGCGTGAAAAGAAAGTTTGAACGCCTTAGGACCTCGGTCCATGCGTGAAGAAAATGAAAAAATCATCAACTCCATGCCCTTACACGGACATGGATTATGAAAGCGACAAAACATCTCAACAAAATTAACAAGACAATGTTTCTGTTACAAAACAGCCAGCCAAGATTAAGAAACGATGCCATGAGACAACCTTCTCTGCTAACATAACAGCTACAAAAACAGTTCAACAATCACTGCTAGGCCAAAGTTTACAGCATCTTCTTCACTCCCAAACAAGCAATAGGATTAGTTAGCCAAAGGCTTAAAGGATAGCCCAACTCCTTGGATCTTGATTTAATAATTCTCTATCAGGTAACCCTACACTCCTCCACCACCCTCCGTCCGAATTAAAATTCATAGTGTTCCGAGAGTCGAAAACTATAGCAAACCAAATAACTCCTCCGTCCGAATTAAAATTCATAGTGTTCCGAGAGTCGAAAACTATAGCAAACCAAATAACTCGTAATTTCTCGCCGGCACTTTTTCCACCCATCACCAACCCTTCAAACATAAATGAATTTTCCTCACCTCACTACCCCCAAAGAAAGTTTTTAAAGAGAGAATTATCTAAGTGAGAAATTTCACAACAGGTTCTAACTCAAATTAATCAAATATCTAGGCAAAAGAAGTTGAAATCATCAGACAACTCCAATCGGTAGAGATTAGAGACAACAATTATGCACCCTTTGTTTTTCAACTAGATTTAAGAAAGAAAAAAACATTCTTAATTGCTGCCATAATTGGGAAATGTGTCAATCTTTCCCCTGCTTTTCCAAACACACCCTAAGACTAGTGGTAGTTGTTGTACACAACATTCCCCGATCAGTGACAGAGTGGTCCTTTTCTGAGGGTGAAGGAATTTCTAACAATAACATACAATTTCATCTAAAATAGTATACTAATGACTAATGAAAAATCTCCGGTGGGAAATTCACAAAGTATCCAAACAAACAGCACATAGTATCCAAAACAAACAGTGCATGAACAATCAAACAAGTATTAACGCCAAAAAAATCAAAGTATGGACCAGAGGTACAGACACATGAAAGATTTCTTAGGAGAAACAGAGGTACATATGGACCAGCTGTCAAAGCTGGTAAAGATACCTTTCCTGGACATTCAACAACAATACCACAGCTTTATTGTTGTGGAGACTCCACTTTTCCTGGCATTGGAGTCCCTGCAGTTGCTGCCAGTGGTGCAATTGTAGCCAATTCATTAGTTTCAGTGTCTCAGCATTCTCAGCTGCTTGATGCAATTGGAATTTGAAAATCATGCATGATGCAATTCTCCCATGTATGAAAACCATTGTTTTTCATTCTCAAACTTGCACAAATGAAATAATACATGTGATTTTTATACTGTATGATAATTTTATGAGTTTAGTTGATGTGTATCTTTAGTATAAAATTGTTTACACATGCATAGAATCACATTACACCATATAAGATATTTAAGTCCAAAGATACTCTTGAGCACAACACATCCTAAACAAATTATAGGGTTGGCATCAAGGCCAATATTGTACAAATAATCACTTTTTCCATGCTTGAATAAAGCCTCTGCTCTGCCTACATAGAAAATGAATATGGCATCCCTTTACCACATTTTAAGTGCAGACATGATTACTGTTGAGGTTCAGTTCATACGCAATGGTCCAAAAAAAGGCTCTTGTTTGTTTCCAGGAGAGGCTCAGCTTCTCTTACTCAAACAGAATGACAGAGTACCAGCAGTGCAGAGCAGATACAGTTTTCTTCCACGCGACTCTGATGCTCAATTATTTAGGCACGCTGCCTTCTTCTAAAAGCAGATTGATGATAGACTTGATAATCTCGTCATTTAGAACGATTACATTCTGAAAGAAAACAAAAAATGATGGTATTGTTGCATGAACAATCAAACAAGTATTAACGCCAAAAAAATCAAAGTACTGACTGGCAAGAAAAGCCATCTCATGATGTTTCCATAATGCACATAATCAACCAAAGACCCTCCTTATATATAGGCGAAAGATTCTTGTGTGAATAAGGGTTTGTTCCTAGAATAAGGGTTTGTTTCTAGAATAAAGGAAACAAATTAGAAATTGACTTGTTCTCATTAAAATGTAATTATTTAGTGTAATTACCAATATAGCCCTGTAACCTCTATATATACGAGAAATAATAATGAGAAAAGTATTAAGCCAAGAATTCTTGACATGGTATCAACCTCGTAGATCAAACCTGTGATTTCCTGGTTCTGATTTTTTTCTCTCTTGGTTCTGTGACAACACCCTGATCAATTCAGTTTGTTGTTTCTTCGTTTCTGCTTCTTGATCGTTCCCCGTGGAATTCGTTTAGCGTCGATTGCCATCGTGATTCTGGGTTTAGGGCTTCGGCTTACTTCGGTTGTTTGCGATCCTCCTTTCACGAATATTGATTCTAGGTCGTGACCGGTTTGTTTTTCGTGGTTATAATTTTGTTTTAATTTGGTTTGTGGTTATAATTTGGTTCCGCCGCTAATTCCAAATTGAAACATTGGAATTGTTACGGCTTCACGAGTGGTACTGTTCTTGGGATATATTGGTGGTACTGCACGAGCTTTGTTCCTTTTGGTTGCAGGTTGTTATTATAATAATAATAAGTATTATAATAATTATTATTATTATAGTAATACATCATCTAATTACAACATAATTTCAATGGCTTCCGAAAAAGAAAGAGATAACTTCTGTGTTCGTTTCACCGGCAAGAATTATTCGGCTTGGGAATTTCAATTCAAGATGTATGTTAGAGGAAAGGGATTATGGAGTCACTTAGATGGTGTTTCTAAGGCCCCGACGGATAAAACTGCTTCAGATGTATGGGAAACTCAAGATGCTCAAATCATCACTTGGATTCTCAATAGTATTGATCCTCAGATGATAAATAATTTGCGCTCCTTTTCAACTGCTCAAGAAATATGGAATTATCTGAAGCGCATTTACAACCAGGACAATTCGGCAAAACGTTTTCAATTGGAGCTAGACATAGCCAACTACAAACAAGGTGACCTACCTATTCAAGAATACTATTCTGGTTTTCTGAATCTCTGGACAGAACACTCTGCTATTATACATGCTAATGTTCCCAAAACCTCTCTCACTGCTGTTCAAGAGGTCTACGACACAAGTCGGCGAGATCAATTTCTCATGAAACTTCGTCCAGAATTCGAGATTGTTAGAGGCGCTTTGCTCAATAGGAATCCTGTTCCTTCTTTGGATACTTGTGTCGGTGAACTTCTAAGGGAGGAACAACGTCTACTTACGCAAGGAACCATGTCTCATGATGCTGTTAGTTCCGAACCTGTGGCAATTGCATATGCTGCTCAAAGTAGAGGAAAGGGTCGTGATATGCGACAAGTTCAATGTTTTTCTTGCAAACAATTTGGACATGTAGCTCGCAATTGCAGTAAGAAGTTTTGCAACTATTGCAAACAACAGGGTCATATCATCTCTGACTGTCCCACACGTCCTCCCCGACCAGTACAACGTCCAACTCAAGCATTCCATGCCACTACCAACTCTGAAGTTGGTCCTCTCAGTACGGGTACCGGTAGTGTTCTACAACCTGAAATGATTCACCAAATGGTACTTTCTGCTCTTTCAGCCTTGGGAATTCAGGGTAAGTCTTCTAATAATTCTCAATCATGGTTTCTTGATTCTGGTGCATCCAATCACATGACGGGTTCCTCTAAATACTTACAAAATGTACATTCCTATAATGGTAATCAGCAAATTCAAATTGCTGATGGTAATAAACTTTCTATCACTGATGTTGGTGACATAGACTCAAACTTTCGTGACGTGCTTGTATCACCCGGACTTGCTTCCAACTTATTGTCGGTTGGTCAATTGGTGGATAACAATTGTAATGTTAGTTTTTCTCGTGTTGGTTGTCTTGTGCAGGAGCAGGTGTCGGGAAAGGTGATCGCGAAGGGGCCTAAAGTGGGAAGATTGTTTCCACTCCAGTTTAGTTCTAGTCATTTATCCTTTGCATGTAATACTGTTTTGAACTCTTATGAGGATTGGCATAGAAAATTAGGCCATCCAAATTCTGTTGTTTTGTCTCATTTATTTAAAACTGGTTTGTTGGGAAATAAACATGCGTGTACTACTCCTATTTCATGTTCTGTTTGCAAATTGGCTAAAAGTAAAATCCTCCCTTTTCCGTCAGGCGCTCATCGTGCTTCTAATTGTTTTGAGATGATTCATAGTGATGTGTGGGGAATGTCTCCTGCAACATCTCATGCTCACTATAAATATTTTGTCACATTTATTGATGATTACAGCCGCTTTACTTGGATATATTTTCTTAGATCTAAGTCTGAAGTGTTTTCTATGTTTCAGAAGTTTTTGACATATGTTGAAAATCAATTTCAAGCAAGTGTTAAAATTTTTCGATCTGACTCGGGAGGTGAGTATATGTCTCATGCATTTCAGGAATACCTTCAACAAAAAGGGATCTTGTCTCAACGGTCTTGTCCCAATACCCCTCAACAAAACGGGATGGCAGAGCGAAAGAATCGTCATTTGCTTGATGTAACACGCACATTACTTCTTCAAGCTTCTGTGCCATCCCGATTTTGGGTTGAGGCTCTTTCCACAGCCGTATTCTTGATCAATCGTCTTCCTTCTACGGTTATTGATTTTGATTCTCCCTTCTTTCGCCTTTTT